CCCCCCCCCCTTTGACGCAACCCTACCTTTGAATACTCTCTCCTATTTAACTAGAACTGTTACAGAATTAAGCTGAGACATACCATATTCCTCCAAGGTGCGAAGTAGTGCATGAATAATAGCTTTATAGGCTTGACTACCCCTTTGATGCTCCTCATCCAAAGTCTTCCCATAAATCCTGTTCATACTTCCATACACCTCCTCAGATTAACACTACGATTTCTCTCCCAAGTAACAATAGAGTAGTGAATCCATAGAGCTAATCTCATTATTGTCACTCTCATCAAGAAGAATCAACTCATTTGGATCATCATAGCACCCTTCAACATCCAAGTCATTCGAACCTATTCGATCTTTTTCTTCCCCTCTCACTTTCCCTCAATCGGTTTCCTTTGTATTTTCATCACAAAAGCCCTTAGGTTCCAGCTGAAATCGCTAGCTTCCATCATCAACCCCATTATTATTAGTCTTTGAATTCGTCGGAGACCTCACACCAAAAAGAGTTGTATGACTGTCGCTAATCTTGATACAGATGCTTCTCACAGAAACACCACCGCTTCTCACCGTTGATTGGCTCAGAAGAACAACCCTAGAACCGAACTCCTTCCCTGAAACAGAAATAGGAAATGGGTTGCAAGAATGAAGTAGTTCACATTGACGAGTACATTAAAGTGAAACTGCAACAATGGCACCATGGGAGTAATTCAATTAGAAGTAAATTTCTTAGGGGACTGGACTTCTGTTGAAGGCATTCCATTTCACTTGTGGCATATTGAAGCTTTCTGAAAAATAGGAGACTCTTGTGGTGGGTTCATTGAGATTGATTGGCAAACTGCAAATCGTGAAAATTTGTATCAAGCGAGAATTCGTGTTCATAACGATTATCGGGTTTTCTAAAGGCACATTTAGATGTGGATTACAATGGGAAAACAATTACAAACAAAAAACAGAGATTGCATGGGGAAGGTAGTATAAAGAAGCAGTACACCGATAGAAAGTTTGCTGATGAAGTGAGGAGGCAGACTAGAACACGTGGCAAAAGAAGTAGCAGGGAATTTAAGGTAGTTCATGCTTATGTAGTATTTCAAAATCAATTACAATTGACCTGCCAAATAATTACTCAATTAATGGCAATAAGGAAGCTGAATTTCATGATAAGAGACTGAAGAAAATGGTTTTGAATTTAAAAAATGTGACTAATTTGAAAGCTGAAGGATCACATCTAAAAGAGAGGGATTCATGCAAGGTGTCAATCTGCAAGGCAGATGGGCCCAATGATAATAAAATGGGTTGGAAAGCTGGTCCTTCAAGTGGGCCTTTAGTTAAAAATTCTGCAATGGGCCAGGATAAAACAAGTCAAGGAAGGAGAGGAAAAGAAAGTTGACTCAGCTACCAACTAAAGCCCACGGTTAAAGAGGTGACGTTTCAGTGTCCAACACGTGTCTAACACCGAAACTTCTCAGACACGTGTTTGATACTCTTTGAGCCCATGTCTATAATTAGAAGCTAAAACCTTGATTTTGCAAATGTGTCCCATACGACTATCAGACTATGACTAAACAAAACATGTGTAGTCACATAATTAACAAATCATGAAAATTTGACAAATTAATGTCTTCTATTATGAAAAAATATATAATTGTTAGGATTAATCATGAACTAGTTTCATTTAAATTTTACAAATACAAACAAAAGATACATGAAAGTTTTAGTATTACTCAAATAAGAAGACTTGGAAAGATGAGAACTATCATTATAATTTTGCATGTTTGCTAGATAATTTTAAACTACTATGATTCATTAGTCCAAAATTTTACATCAAAGATGAGACATTAGATTTACGCAGCNGTTTGCTAGATAATTTTAAACTACTATGATTCATTAGTCCAAAATTTTACATCAAAAATGAGACATCAGATTTACGCAACATAAATTATTGATTTCTTTGTGTTGTATATCAATAGATAAATGCGGACACATTATTGATTATATCATTTAATATGTAAAACAATTTTTTTGTGTCCTCGACGTGTCCATATCCTACTTTTCTAAGAAATGATGTGTCCACATGTCCGTATCATATCGTATCCATGTCTCGTGTCCGTATTGTGCTTTTTTAGACACNTATCAATAGATAAATGCGGACACATTATTGATTATATCATTTAATATGTAAAACAATTTTTTTGTGTCCTCGACGTGTCCATATCCTACTTTTCAAAGAAATGATGTGTCCACATGTCCGTATCATATCGTATCCATGTCTCGTGTCCGTATTGTGCTTTTTTAGACGCTAACAGGGCAATACAGGTTTTTTTGGGTAAAAATATTCTGGTGGTTTGCTCTTTTATTAATTATAATTCAACAAAACATCATCTGCATTAACTACAAGGGGAAGCTAAAAGGTTCTCTGCCATTCGACACTATCTAGGGGCTGCTTCATTAATATGATCAAAGCCCCCATGTCTGCCTCAACCGAAAACTTCAGCTTTCCCTTGTCCTCAAACTTTCAAAGTGAATCAAATCACTCCTCACAAGTGCAGACGCAACTCAATACTAAATGGGAGAGTGGTTTGAGAAGATATGTCATATACATGCATCATAGCCATTACCAGCACATTCACCATAAATATCACAGCAAAGTTAGCCAAATAACAAACTGAATTCTGAAAGTTGAAAGATAAAGTCTGAAAGTTAAAAGGTGAATGCTGAATTTGTGGATTGTTTGGTATCCACTGTAATTTAAGTATTGGATTAAACTAAACTGTTTGATAACTACACAGAGCTAACGTCTGAAAATAAATTAATTTTCAGTTTTACCTTNACATGCATCATAGCCATTACCAGCACATTCACCATAAATATCACAGCAAAGTTAGCTAAATAACAAACTGAATTCTGAAAGTTGAAAGATAAAGTCTGAAAGTTGAAAGGTAAATGCTGAATTTGTGGATTGTTTGGTATCCACTGTAATTTAAGTATTGGATTAAACTAAACTGTTTGATAACTACACAAAGCTAACGTCTGAAAATAAATTAATTTTCAGTTTTACCCTTCCCCTCTTTAATTTGAAAATATTTATAAAATATGTCATAACATAAATTATAATGACTATTATTATATTATAGTCTACATTTAACAAATATTTGATCAAAATAAATAACATATGCATAACACAATAAGTGAACAACAACAAATTGAATAACATAATAAGTGAACAACAACATCTGATAAAAAAAAAGAACAATAACTAATAAATAATCAAATAATATTGAAAAAATACAGTAAATTAAATTTCATTAACAATATATGTGTGCGTGCAGTCCATGTGTGTAACTATGTGTGTGTAGTGTATATATCTGTGTGTAATTGTGTGTGTGTAGTGTCTGCGTTTGTGTGTATAATTATAATTATGTATGCATATTTTTGTTACAAGAGACAAGGGAAAAAAAAAGAGACCGACAAGGAAAATATATAAGAGGTTTTGGAGAGAAGACTAATTAGAGTTTTAATATGATTGTAAAATATTTCGGAGTATAATTGTCAAATTGTAAATATTATTAAAGATGATTTTGCTGAGCACTTTCAGATTTCAAAATAAAATAAGGGATTTTCTACTTAATATTGTAGCATATTTTTAAGGAGCACTTAATATATTAAGAGAGTTTAAATTTTGGTTATTAAACGGNTGAGCACTTTCAGATTTCAAAATAAAATAAGGGATTTTCTACTTAATATTGTAGCAAATTTTTAAGGAGCACTTAATATATTAAGAGAGTTTAAATTTTGGTTATTAAACAGGCTTAATTAATAAGCGTTGAATTTGGGTTAACAAACACACCCTTAGTCTTTGTATTGCTACACCCAAAAACATAAACAAGGAAACATATGCTTGAATACCTGCTCCTGTGAGCGGAAATACATGAAAGGGGTATAGTGGAGGAAATTTGAAACCCTCGAGGTATAAATNCATAAATTATTGATTTCTTTGTGTTGTATATCAATAGATAAATGCGGACACATTATTGATTATATCATTTAATATGTAAAACAATTTTTTTGTGTCCTCGACGTGTCCATATCCTACTTTTCAAAGAAATGATGTGTCCACATGTCCGTATCATATCGTATCCATGTCTCGTGTCCGTATTGTGCTTTTTTAGACGCTAACAGGGCAATACAGGTTTTTTTGGGTAAAAATATTCTGGTGGTTTGCTCTTTTATTAATTATAATTCAACAAAACATCATCTGCATTAACTACAAGGGGAAGCTAAAAGGTTCTCTGCCATTCGACACTATCTAGGGGCTGCTTCATTAATATGATCAAAGCCCCCATGTCTGCCTCAACCGAAAACTTCAGCTTTCCCTTGTCCTCAAACTTTCAAAGTGAATCAAATCACTCCTCACAAGTGCAGACGCAACTCAATACTAAATGGGAGAGTGGTTTGAGAAGATATGTCATATACATGCATCATAGCCATTACCAGCACATTCACCATAAATATCACAGCAAAGTTAGCTAAATAACAAACTGAATTCTGAAAGTTGAAAGATAAAGTCTGAAAGTTGAAAGGTAAATGCTGAATTTGTGGATTGTTTGGTATCCACTGTAATTTAAGTATTGGATTAAACTAAACTGTTTGATAACTACACAAAGCTAACGTCTGAAAATAAATTAATTTTCAGTTTTACCCTTCCCCTCTTTAATTTGAAAATATTTATAAAATATGTCATAACATAAATTATAATGACTATTATTATATTATAGTCTACATTTAACAAATATTTGATCAAAATAAATAACATATGCATAACACAATAAGTGAACAACAACAAATTGAATAACATAATAAGTGAACAACAACATCTGATAAAAAAAAAGAACAATAACTAATAAATAATCAAATAATATTGAAAAAATACAGTAAATTAAATTTCATTAACAATATATGTGTGCGTGCAGTCCATGTGTGTAACTATGTGTGTGTAGTGTATATATCTGTGTGTAATTGTGTGTGTGTAGTGTCTGCGTTTGTGTGTATAATTATAATTATGTATGCATATTTTTGTTACAAGAGACAAGGGAAAAAAAAAGAGACCGACAAGGAAAATATATAAGAGGTTTTTGAGAGAAGACTAATTAGAGTTTTAATATGATTGTAAAATATTTCGGAGTATAATTGTCAAATTGTAAATATTATTAAAGATGATTTTGCTGAGCACTTTCAGATTTCAAAATAAAATAAGGGATTTTCTACTTAATATTGTAGCATATTTTTAAGGAGCACTTAATATATTAAGAGAGTTTAAATTTTGGTTATTAAACGGGCTTAATTAATAAGCGTTGAATTTGGGTTAACAAACACACCCTTAGTCTTTGTATTGCTACACCCAAAAACATAAACAAGGAAACATATGCTTGAATACCTGCTCCTGTGAGCGGAAATACATGAAAGGGGTATAGTGGAGGAAATTTGAAACCCTCGAGGTATAAATATCAGCATACCTGCAGTTTGAAGAAACAAAAAATGACTGGAAATCATACAACTTCAGCTACTAAAGAAACAGAAGCAACGAATTCAGATGCACATACTTCTCAATTTGCCTCATTAAGTGGCTTTTGTCCCACAGACCTGCCCGTGAAAGAAAACCCCACCTAAACAAAATAAGCCAGTGAATCAGCCTTCGAAATCCAAATGCATAAATCAAACCACAACAGTGCACATGCACGCTAATACACCCACACACCCCTGGGCCACATTTGCAAGTTCCTACTTATCTGAGGTTGAAGTTGCTTAACTTACCCTTGTGCATCATAACATGCCAACTGAGGTATACCAAGTCATAAACAATGGAATTGTATACTTTAACCAATTTTGACCTTGACTCAACTCAGTCACAAAAAATATAATGCTGATGCACTGAACTGTCAGCACAATTTTTCTTATACGCATAGTTCATGATAAGAGGATGCAACATTGTTGAACATTAGAATGAATCACACAGTTCATGAATTTTAGGCAGCAAGCAATCCTAGTTCCCAAGAAACAAGTTTCAACACTGAGTTACCTTCTGTTGAAGTGCTCCCCATCAGCCTCCAACATCGGAGCAATTTTCTGGTCTAGTCTTTGCATTACTATAAGTAACTTCTGTATGCTTTCTGTGAGTTCTTTATCATTCAGATGAGTAGCGGCAATGGTCTGCATATAGAGAATATATAAATCACCTCATATTTAAGAACCACATTACTTAGATTTTAGATGTTATTTAAGACACACAACCTCTGAAATTATAAGCCCAACTCACTCAAATTGTATAGAGTACTGTCAAAAAATAATAGATTCATACAGAAGTTCAAATTTGCCTTGATATTTAAAAATTACTAATAAGAGCAAAGGCATTATATATATTACAAGGTGAAGAACTATATCGTGGAGCCAGAAAACATTACTTGAGCGGGGCGCTCTTTAGTTCTCCTCTGCAGAGCCAGCCGAAGTTGGTTAAAGAGATCCCCTACTACTTCCTTCTGATTTATAAGCTCAATCAGCGTAGCTCGATGATCTCTACTACAAATCAAAGCGCTATACTGCAGTCTCAATCCAAATGAGATGAAATATGAGCGCTTTTATCATCCAGCAAACTCAGAAAAATAAAAAGGATAAATGTTAGCATTCAAATACATTCAAATAAAAACACAAATTACCAGCAAGATAACAATTGATGGTTGAATATTATCCTGATCCACAAAAATTAAAGAGGTACAACATGAAACGTAACATTTATTATTGCTTGAGATAAAATATGATCTCCTTTAGGTTTCTTGTAAATTTATCTTAATTTCTTATTGGTCCTTTCTTTAACTATGCACTGGTTTATTAAATCTGCAAGTATAGTGAAAATTTCAACGCCTACAACATTAGCAATAACAACTCCCCTTCTATCCCCAAGTCACCCTCTCATCAAAGTGGTAGAGGAAGAGAGAAAATCATTAACCTCTTCTTCCAACTCTCGGCAAATCAATGCTGTCCTCCATCGAAGATGGACTTTGGATTGGCTTACATCTGTATATATGTGATCACCAACATACAGTATCTCATCTCCATGGATGTCAAGGGAATTCTCAATCATCTGAGCACTTCCCCCGGAATATAAGCCTCCTGCAAGAGTATAGGAAACAAAAATAGTGAAGTCATAGTGACATTATACCTCCAGAAGCACAGCTGATGCCCTTGTATGACATGTGAATCTAATAAAGCATAAGTGATTCATGAGCAAAATTACTTAAGGGTGAAAGCCACTTATATGCTGAATGTACATTTGCAAAATTTATTGTAACCAGTGACAACAACGAGATAAAGATCAAAGAAAAAATTCAAATCCAGCAAGTTCTTGAGAAAACTGGAGAAATGGTGACATAGGGGAAAGTTTGTTGGAAAAGCTTTACAGTAATTTGACCAATTACTCAATATAAACTACCAATGAAAGGCACAATCTAAACCAGTGACATGCTGGATTTCGATGAACAATGACGTCAGGTAGTCACCAAACTTGGGAACCAGTTTTCAGAAAACATCTACCAAGTTCTTTTTTTCGATTTTTTCTCCTCATAGACCTACTAAGTATGACTACTTTTACACCATTAACCAGTTATGGTTGAATCTTTCATAGAACAAAAGGATGGAGAACATTATGGATTGATTTTAGCATTGGACTCAATTTGCTAGTCAAACATTCATTTTTTATAGGCAGAGCCCACATTTCACAAAGTCGCATAATTTGAACCACAAATGGATTGGCAAGCATATGCTTGCTATACATCATTCAGCACTGATCCTACAAATTTTGTTTCCATGATATAATTGTAGCTCTTAGAGGGATGCTCATTCTAAATTACATTAGATGACTGTTCAAACATGCTCAGATGAGACAACATGAAGAGCTAAACATTCCAACATATTTTGTTCCAAAACTAGTATACAAAATCATTTACCCAAAAAGAAACTAGCATACACAATTATACCGTTATAGCAAGTGAAAAGGCCAAGGCACAAAGCAAAAATCACCTGGACAAGCCTTGAAACATGGACGCATTAGACCCTCACCCGTCACCACTTCATACATGGGGTGTGACATTTGGAAAAATTCTGGCTTCCTAGCAGAGACAATGACCTATACAAAACACCAAAAACACATTAATGACTTTTTTGTGGTAAAATGTTGCTTTCAAAGCTTTGTCACAAGCACGTTCACTATATTTAAAATCTGGAAATGTTCCTCACTTTGTTCTATTTAAATGATATAGAGAGGAAAAAGAAAACTTCAAACTAAGAATGAGGTTTTCAACCTCTCTTCTCCTCATTTTCTGACATAGTTAACATTAGCAAGATGCAATTTTTGTTACATGCTATAAAGGAGGACAAGGGTATCCTACATTAGTTGGAACCAAAGATCAAAATTTCGTTTTGGTGCATTGTTTTCGGTCACCTAGGAAATGAAATCATTTCAATATTTTTCGGAAATGTTTTGACCCGTTTCGGAAATAGAATAAAAAAATAAAAAATTTAAGAATTGTATTATCAAAACATTGGTCGAAATATACTAAAATATCTTGAAATACTTTGAAACATTTTGAAATAATTGTGCAAATATATTGAAATATAACAACATTTCGAAATATTATGGAACAACTCGAAGTATTAGAATTTCAATTCCATCACTGATTCGTTTAGAAACGGAAACGTTTCGGATGTTTCGACCTTTTTGAAACGATATTTTGATCCTTGGTTGGACCAAAACAGAGAAAACAAAAACCAAAAGCCAGCATGTTTGCGGTGGAATGGTATGACTGAGGACTACTCACCATGTCAAAAAGATCTCGCCAACCCATGTCATTGGGAAGAAATCTGTTGAAGGAATGCCGCATCATTTTGTCTGTGTAATGGTAATCTGAATTTGTAATAAGTAAGAGTCTTTTGCCAGCCTGATTCAAAACAAATGAGAACTTAAAATGACTTCCTTACGCTTTTGGTCTCTGAAAGGGGGATTGTAAGATGATTTTAAATGTGGCGTAATATGTGAAATCAGATGAATTACCTCCTTTTGATCTAAAAGTGCCAAAGGAAGCTCTGAATCAGTCTCTACAAAGAGTTCGGGCTTGGACATGATCTCACTCTATGTAGACACCATTCATCAGTTGATGCATGTGAAACACAAAATTAAGCATGAAACATATCTACCTTAAGCTGCCCTTCTACATGTGCCCTGAAAAGTGCCTTCCCAACAGCCTGAAAAAGATGTAGAGAAGTTAACAACTAACGTCACCATTACAGTCAAAATTTCTTAACACGCTTATTAGAAAACCAAAAGAAACATATCTCAACCTACATCACCTTGTAAAGCCCTTTGTAATCAAGTGGACCAAGCATAGTTTCTATAAATCCATCATCCAATCTATCAACCATCTGAAGATGAAACATGTCATGACATATTTTCAGCTGAGAACAGAAAGTAAACACGTGCGTACAATGAAACAAAAACTAAATAAAGGTAGAATATGTATGAACTTAAGTTACTGTCTTAGCACAAAAATTGTGCTGTGAAAGATAGAATGATTCGATCTAGGAAGACATTATGACATTTGAACTGACACAACCACAAAAGACCTCAATGTGCAGCACAAATGGCTTGTTGAGACACTTTTTTTTTTTTTGGGGGGGGCGGGGTTATTAAGACTCCCATATTCATTACCACCTCTCAGGGTCATAACATCAACAGTTAAATCTTTAAATAAAAAATATTGTATATTAGAAAGTCTATGTCTTTTCATGTGATAGCATAAACTGAGGGAGAAAACTACCTGCATATATGCAACCGCTTCTGACACAGAGAAGAGTGTATTGAGGAACTCCCACCGACTTTCCTTCCGCAGATCCACCAATTCCCTCCCATACATCTCACTTCCGTGTATAGAAAGTTAACAGGCAGTAAATAAGACATAGGCCCAATTTTGGCACATAGGACACATCTAATTACAAGATGTGGAGGAAATCCAAGCAACTTACAACTAAATTGCATGTGCAGTCCAACTCAGTCCAAGCATTAAAGGATGCACATGCAAAGATATAAGCACTAGCCGATACAATCATTGACTGCTTAAAATCAAAGTAGAAAGGTAGTGAAAAAAGGGAATCAGGAGATACCAAAGAATGGATAGTTTGTGGTTGAACATTCATATGTAGGATGAGATTGAAGATGACACTATGCATAGAATAAAAGCAAAATAAATTAAGTGGAAGAGAGCATCTGGTGCATTATATAATAGTAAGCCGGGGTCATTGGGTATAGATAAACCAAATTGACCCTGATTGAGACAATAAAGAATGACTGATGACATGTGGTTTAACAGAAGTGGTGGTACTAGATAAATTACAACAGTGGAGCATGACTTGTGCAGTCGACCCAAATAGCATTGCTTTGTTTAGATGAGTTGATGACAAGTCTCATAAAGCAGCTAGTCACCCACTTTGCATGGTTACTATTCAACCCATTTTGATTACAGATAGCATGGCAAATAGCTCATATTTTCCAATCCTTGCAATAAGCAAGATGAAAAGGTTCGAACCACACCTCACTTCTCGTGTAGACAGCATTTTTGTGCCATGCATAGCCCTCTTCACATAACCAAATCGATCTGCCTTCACCAAGTTGCCTTTCTCTTTGTCAATGACAAGACCTCTGATTACCTAGTAGAGCCATGTAGCAAAATGCTCTCATAAACACAAAAGAAGTATAAACAATAGATTTTATGCATGCATATTAACAAGTTACCAAGTCTGGGTCGAAGGCAAGTCCATCAACTGGAAAACCCATGTTTCTCAGATTATCCATACAATAGTCGTATGCTCGCCCTTCCCAAGCCTACAAGATTGTAAAGCCGAGTCATATCATCTCGATGGCCCAACTGAGCAACACATGCACTTCATATGGTTCACATATACTCCAATACTAGTGGTTAAAATATGGAACCATGTGGAACATGAGATTTGCATGATTCAGAGGTGCTAGCCATAACATTTTGTGCATAAAGAAGAGTATTAGAGAACAACATGAGGATGAAGTACAACAGAGTAGGAAATAAACAATAGAAACACATGCAAAGCTGTTATAGAGCTAATGCGATCACCTTAGTTGCTAGGGCCTATGAGGCTATATTATGCAACCTTATTCCTAGTACATATGTGTAAGCCACATATTCAAATAAAGAGAAATACTGATTGCTTTGGAAAATGAAGAAAATAAATACATAAAAAAATGTTTAATTCTGACTTTTAAAATAAGAACTGGTGAATGTCCCACAAAAAAATTATAATATTCATAATAACTGGCCATTACCATCACGTTGTAATGCATCAATGTATAATCCATGTCATATCCGATGGCACTGATTGACCGGAGATTCAAAGTGCGGCTACAAAATATGCCCCGTGGAGAATGTCTTGCAGATAATGGGTCCTGCATATCATTGTCATAGGATCAAACACAGTCAGTTCATATTTTCTAATTATAAGCAAGAGACCAATGCAATTGACATGTCAAAACAGAAAACAGCAAAATCCGCTAGAGATATAATAACACTGTTATCAATAAGCTGCAACCTAAGAAATAGCAAGCAGTAGCCAGCAGTCAATGTTCATTACTTTAAACATTTTGAACATCTGGTGCAGATGCCCAAGAAACATTCTTTTAAGTTGTAATTGTGATCATCCATGGTGTGACTATTGAAGATAGGAATGTGACTTGTTATTGTCTAGTAGCTCAAAGGCAGGATGACAGACACCAAGTAAAGAATATCTAAAAGAGAGAGGAAAAAGGAGGTTGTTGAAGTATAAATATTTAAGGTATACCCTCTCCAACAGTTTAAGCATTTGGAGTAGATGATTTTTTAACATGGTATTAGAACAGGAGATCTTGTATTCTTATCTTGCTGCCATCCTAATTATTAAAATATTGTCATATGCTAGACCCAAAATCTACCCCACAAGTGAGAGAACATGTTGAATTATAAATATTTAAGTTACACCTTCCAAACAACTTATGCAGTTGGAGATGGTTGCCTAATAGATATGAATCCAAAACTACCCCTGGATGACTAACACAGCTTTGTCTAGATGAAATGGCAAAAAATCATTTTGTACAGGATCAAGGATTGCTGAAGCCATGACAAGAGGTTTCTCAAGAATACAAATTTGAGAAGACAAGGATACAAAAACAATAAAACAAGTGACCCATCATCAAGTANAAAAAATCATTTTGTACAGGATCAAGGATTGCTGAAGCCATGACAAGAGGTTTCTCGAGAATACAAATTTGAGAAGACAAGGATACAAAAACAATAAAACAAGTGACCCATCATCAAGAACGCACATTTGTTCAGTAGTTTGAAAGCACATCCAAGAACTAATTGGACAGTGTCAGGTGGGAAAACTAAACTACGAACCTGGCAATGACGTGATAAATGAACAACGTGCTACATGTGAAAAGAAATACAAATGCATCTATAAGGAGTTCTGGGGTACCGGGATCCCCAAGTGTTTAAGCAATTTCTCAGCCTCTTCAGCTTCCATCCGGGCCACCTCCTCAATGGGACCTTCTAGCGCCGCCTTGCCATCGATCCCTGCATTGAATTGAAAAAATAAACAACTACCCAATGTCAAAATTCCATGAATTAGGGAATGCAAAACCCAAGGTTACACATCAAACTTCGTGAGCACCGAAAAAAAAATAATAATGAAAGAGTGATGTATTGTCATAGAGATGTATTTTTCCACAAATGCCGTTAAGGGGTTCGCATATGTCTATCTAAGCAAGGACGAATAGGCAGTATACAGCAAAGACCTGAATTCACAATTGTTAAGACAGGAATGATTCGTTTGGTGAGGAAATTCAACAAAGAGAAGAAAAAAGGATTAGGCCCGCCCATTCCATAAAGCATAAATCTTGACTAGTAATACACGTTTCGCGCATACTGCTGTAAGTGAAGAATTGAGAGCGCCAACAACACAGTAGTAGTATATAAGTGAGTAATAATGTAATAGCTGTTACCGAAATTGAGGTTCAAATCGCCTTTGGTGCTTTGGCCGAGATAATCGACATCGCACTTATTGGAGGAAGTGATGGAGAAGACATCGCCTCCTGTTGAGGAAACGGACTTGGTGGCGTCAACGGTGCATCGACAGATCCTCGGCTGACGTATATTCTCCCGGGGAAAGACAACGGAGCTAAAAAGAAGAAGAGGGTTCTTAACGTAAGTCGTTGTGGCTGCCATTCAAACACTTGGTGCGCTTCTCTCTCTCTCTCTCTCTCTCTCTCTCTGTGTCTGTGTGTGTGGAGCTGAGGATTACTACTGACGAAGAGACCCAGTATACAGCGTAGTGGTATAACACAGATCTATACAAGAACAGACTGGACTAGAGAAGCCGAATAGTGCCATTAGCACGCAAGACTGTGGGGTGGTTGTCTTCTGATGACGACGAATGTAAAGGATAGGATTCTCAGTACTCAGGAGTCACTGAAGTCTTCGCTCTACTGTTGAACTTGAGAGTATGATTGGGGCCAAAACAAGTTCACTTTACTCTTTCTGGATAATGAATAGGGACAAGTTCCATAATTCATAAAGCAGCATGCACAGCCCCTAAACAAACAATCCTACTCGGCTACTCCCACATAGTGACTGAAAAAGGAAAATGGACCAAATTCATGAACCTATTTCTTCCTTATGCCATCAAAGCAAAACTTTTACACCAAATAATTTCAAATCCAACTTTTAAAATTTATTCAGACTCCTTCAGATATCATATTTTTAAAGGGTAGATTGTATAAATGGTCTTGAGATTTACCAAAATTTTTATTTTTTGGTATGGGAGATTTACCATTTGATGATGCACAAAATAGGTTATACACAATCAACAGTCAAGTAAGTGATACAGGAAAATTAATGATGCAATTAATAAAGCGATCAATATCATAAGGCAAATAATGGGTGGTTGGATTGAGGTGACTAAACCACTAACGACGGCGACGTTGGTAGGAGAACTTTATTAATAAAATAGAAGATAGGGGAGAGAGAGTAAGGGTAAGTTCTAAGTAGTTATGAGAGCGATAGTCGTGTAAAAAATGTGTAGAGATGCCCCTCATGTGAAGAGATCTTACAATTTATAGATACAGAATCTTGGTTGAAGCGGTGGCGTGATGAGTAGGTTACTAATCTTTTGGGAAAAATAACTACAACTAGGACAGATCCAATTAGAGATAGTCGTGATATAGGAATAGTTATTTCGATATTTACTTCTCATGTGTACTAATATTATTGAATTCTTTGAACTTTGGACTGGATAGAATCCATAAGCTGAGCTTGACCTATTTTGTAGTTAATTTGGGCTTATCCATGGACTAGGCTTAGACCTATCTAGATTTGGGCTCATCACCCCTTGTTAATTTTTATTTCTTAAAATTTTAATTTTGTCAATTTAATCATCAAAGTTTACGCATTTCACCAAGTTAGTTCCTCCCACTAACTTTAGTCTAAATCTTTTAACTCTTATTCCTCATTTGAACAATCCCAAACCCAAACCCAAACCCAAACTCAAACATACTATTTATTCTTTTCCTATTTCTTATTTACCTCTCTCTATGCTCACCCACATAAGAAGCGCATTATACACTATTTCTCTCTCTCTCTCTCTCCACAAACGCACCAAACTCAACAATTCACATTATGTCTATCTCTCTCGCTAAGACACAGTTACACACACCACGCTACATGACCAATCATTTCAACCCAAACTCGTGATAACCAGCACCACCCAAAAATTGTGACAATTTTGTTCATGTCCCAATCATGTGGTTCCTAATTATTGTGTTTATTTAATCTCTAAAAAACTTAATTCATGTCTATTTGGACAGATATTTGGGTTTGAACCACATAGATATAAATTACAAACCTTAGAAATCAAATAGACGCAATTGAAAAAATATGAGCTAAATAGACACTACACACATACTCTAAGGACTAAAAGTGTGTTTTACCCTTTATTTTATATAAACTAATGCAGTTACAAATCATTAACCAGTTTCAATAAGTCCTATTCCAATCACTATCCCGACACATACAGTCCAAAGTGGAAAAATCATCTGAATTTCAATTGGAGGAACAATCAATAGCTACTCATTAGCCAACCACTACAACATAGTCCACCACAATACTCACCTTATTAGACAGCCCCCAAAAGGAGACTATAAAATACAACCTATTGGGGAGTGACACATAAATTTCATATAACATAAGAGGTATCTTTGAAGATATGACAATCTCTTTTATAAGGGACTAGTGTGCCCCGTGCAAAGTACACATTTTTTTTAATGCATACTCTAGTTAAAAGTAGAATTTAAATGAGTTACAATGGTTCGAAGGTTAAAGAGTTAAAATTTAAATTAGTTATCATGGTTAAAAGATTAAAATTTAAGTTATTATGGTTAAATTGTTAAAATTTAAATGAGTCACTATAATTAAAAAGTTAAAAGATTAAAATTTAAATGAGTTATGTGGTTTGATGGGTTAAGCCAAAATAGTCCAATTTATGTGTTAAAGTCCAACTCCAGTTGAGGAGCCCAACCTCATTTTGAATCTACCAAGCCCAAGACAGTCCAAGACTGGTTAGACTTTTTGCTTAGCACGTCATCAAGAGGAGAGCATGAGAAGCTTATCTGCACCACCGAAGGAAACGGTCCAAGCTTTGACCACGTTTCATGAAGAGCTCCCCAACCTCCTCCTTCCGTTGAGGATAGGTCATGATCTCCACCAGAATGATCTCTTACTGCGATAAAGTAGCCTTAAGGATAAGTCATGATCTCCACCAAATGATCTCTTAGCTGCGATAAAGTAGCCTTGAGGATAAGTCATGATCTCCACAAGAATGATCTCTTAGCTGCTATAAAGTAGCCCCAATCTGTGAGGAGACGAGAGAGAGGAAGGTCACACCCCACCAACACTTACAGAGGACAGACCGACGACCGGAGACCACTCCTTCTTTGATTCTCCATTCTCTCAAAGCTTGTATCTCTATTCTCCATACCTCTGAATTAATAAAATACCCGGCAACTGAAGCCATTGAAGAGTGGACGTAGGTCGAATTGACCGAACCACTATAAATTGTGTCTTCTTTAATTTTTTCATTGATTTCACTGCATTTATTACCTACACTTGACAGGTGGTGTGCAAAACCATTTTTGTGCATCATCAGTTTGGCGCCGTCTGTGGGAATCGACAAAATTCTCACTCCTGAACATTACATCCATTAACTAATGGCGATCACTACTCGATCCATGAACCAACATGAAGACAATCCTCCACGAGAGGAGGAGGTTGCTCCCCCGCCTATCAACCCTGTTCCGGATACTCTAGCCCCGAATCCCCAGCAAATATTGGAGACCATGCAGCAACTGGTTGCTCAAAACCAACAGTTACTGCAACTCATACTTGCTGGACAAGGAGGAGCACCACACGGAGGTGCACAACATGGAGGACCCCAAGGAGGAGCACCACACGGAGGTGCACAACATGGAGGACCCCAACGTGGAGCACCACACGGAGGTGCACAACATGGAGGGCCCCACGGAGGTGCACAACATAGAGCACCCCAAGGAGCTCCACGTCCTGGACATCAAGGAGCACCACGCCCTGTTGCTCCACGCCCGGGCGCCCCATTGGGCACCCCACTTCAGGAAGCCCAACATGAGGGAGCTGCACCTCCCCCTCCCCTTGCTTTCCAGGGAGAGGACCCTTATCTCCAGGAGGATGAGGGTGAAAACCAAAGCATGGGGCATGGAAGCCACTTCCATGATCATTCCAGAGGAGCCCCCAATCATTGGGACGAGAAGATAAAGGAGGTACAAAATCAACTCGGTGATGTCTTCAACGCCATGAAGGCACAGGGACCCGAGACTGTTGACCACCTGGTAAGGCGTACTGATACCCCTTTCAAATCTGATGTAGCAAACTACCCCCTCCCTCAGAAGTTCAAAATGCCATCTGTGGAGACCTTTGATGGAACAAAGGATCCACTGGACCACCTCGACACTTACAAGACCTTGATGCAATTGCACAACGTACCAGACGAAATCATGTGCAGGGCATTCCCAACCACGTTAAAGGGGTCTGCCCGACAGTGGTTTGCTAAGCTCTTCCCTGCCTCTATTACCTCTTTTGCCGAGCTTAGCAGATCATTCGTCTCACACTTCATAGGAGGGCGTCGCCACCAGAAGCCAGTTACGCACCTGCTTAGTATAAAGCAGGACCGCGAGGAGAGCCTGAGGAGTTACCTCACTCGTTTTAACGAGGAGGTACTCCAAGTTGATGAACCTGACGACAAGGTGACGATGATCGCCTTCTTGGGTGGCCTCCGTTCATCAAGTTTCCTTTTCTCAGTTCTGAAGCGCCCACCGAAGAGCATGCCAGAGCTGCTAGCCAAGGCCCAAAAGTACATAAACGCAGAAGACATCACAAGGGCCAGGCGGGGTGAGTCTTCCAGAGCAGGGGATAAAAGGAAGGAAAGGAAGAGGGACGATAAGAAGGGTACCAGCAACAAACATGGCAGGACAGAGAAAGTCCCTCCCAAGGACCGGCTAGGTCCTGCTCCTCAGAGGAACCGTCAACCCTTCACTCCTCTCAATGCTTCTGTGGAACACANATGGCAGGACAGAGAAAGTCCCTGTCAAGGACCGGCTAGGTCCTGCTCCTCAGAGGAACCGTCAACCTTTCACTCCCCTCAATGCTTCCGTGGAACACATCCTATTCCAGATCCAGGATGACCCCGCGATAAAGTGGCCTGGAAAAATGAAGTCTCCTCCAAATCGCAGAAATCCTAACAAGTATTGCCGCTTCCATCGTGACCACGGGCATGACACCGACGATTGCTACGACCTCAAGAGGCAAATTGAGGGGCTCATCCAGCGTGGTCACTTACGCCAGTACGTTGCTGGAAGGGAACGAGCACCACAACCTCACAACCAGGAAGATCAGCAGCCAGTGGGGGAAATCCACACCATCTTAGGGGGACTAGCAGGTGGGGGAGAATCACTTTACGCGATGAAGGCTCATGCTAGGAAGACAAGACATGTCTACGAGATGCGCCCATCTAAGGTGCCGAAGCAGGAAGGCGACG